GGGCACTGAGAAGCCCTAGGGATTCTACATCCAGATGGCTCCAGTGTCACGGTCACATCACATGGCTTAGAGAAGGTCCCAGGGATCTTTATATCCAGACTACATCTGGCTCAAAGCACAAGACTATTAGCTGTTAATGATGAAGTTTTAGTAGTTAACAGCATAGAAGTTTCAGAGAAGAGTCTTGATCAAGTAACAGACATGATGATTGCCAACAGCCACAACCTCGTTATACCCGTGAGACCCACAAACGAGAGGAATACTGTTGTTTGGAACAGTCAGACATCGGCAGCTCTGGCCCATCCAAGAGAACAGTCTCCTGGGCTACCCCAGTAGGTAGAACTGAGCTTTAAGCCAGAGGATGGGGTCAGTGATGAGGATGACATTATTGAAGGTAACAGAGTGCCGCAGCAGATTCCTAAAGCAGTTCCTAATACTGAGAGCCTCGAATCATTACCATAAACAGAACTCAATTCTGAGTCTGGACAGAATGGTTTTATCCCTTCTAATGAAGTAAGCTTAGCACCTGTAGCAAGTGGCAGAAGTAGAGAAACACATGCTCCAGATCAAAAACTCTTAGAAGATGGAACGATCATAACACTATGAAACCTTTGTCCGAATGTCCTTGGAGTAAGGATGCCGCAGGGACTTGTAAATCAGGCTAGTTTAAAGTATATGTACCTCTGAACCGGAGACCTCCAGTAGGCATGAGAAAAATAAAATCGCAAGCTTAAAATGTTACTAAAGCAGTAGTTTGATCATTGTTAATACAAACTTTGGTTTGTCAGAGGTTTGTCTTAAAGGGGCCTTTGCTCATGAAATTATGTGCTTTCGCTATTTGTCTCTGCAGAACTGGGTCAGAGCACTTTCTCAGAACTGAGAGGACCAGATCTTTTCCGTTCGAAGTGGTTGTCATTGCCATATTTAACCAGCTGTGCGGAGCCCAGTTAGCATTCCCTTTACCTATTTGTTTTAAAGATTTTATTTATTTATTTGACAGAGATCACAAGTAGGCAGAGAGGCAGGCAGAAAGAGGAGAGGGGGAAGCAGGCTCCCCGCGGAGCAGAGAGCCCGATGCGGGGCTCAATCCCAGGACCCTGAGATCATGACCTGAGCTGAAGACAGAGGCTTAACCCACTGAGCCACCCAGATGCCCCATACCTATTTTTTTTTTTTTAAGTTCTAATGTGAAGAAGACTGATTCTGTCCTTTGGTAGCTTGGGGACCTCAGCTCCTACGTTTATGGTTTTTTTTATGTTGTTCCTCTGTGCTCATTGTTATGAGTAATTTCTTCAAATGCTTTTTTTTCCTCTAACATCTAATAAGTCAAACCGACTGCCTGTTTTGGGGAGTTGCTTCCTATGTCATCAAGCACTGAAGCCAGGTTCCTGAATTAAGAAACTCAAACAGCCGTTCAATTCAAAGCTTGTCATCCTACAGCTTTCACATTTACTCTCATTAGTCTCATTCCACGTGCATGTAACTTAAATGTTGCAAAAGGCAGTTCTGTAACTGGTAGTATGTGGGACTCCCTTAATCTCCTCTCACCCTCATTCCCTTATCATTGGCAACCATTCCTTTTGTTGCTGGTGTGTGTTTTGTTGGTGTGCTTTTATACTCTCATGTATTTGAGCAGTAGGCATCATTCTGGATTTTAAAATGCACCCAAATTAAGAGATTTTTACACACAGGACAACTTGAGGGCTTTTTTATATGAGATACTTGATTTTTTTCCTTAATGGGATTTCTAGGAACCCTGCCTACACTTAACAAAAAAAATTATATATATTCACCTTGGACAGGTGGAGTTTATTGGTATTAATTTTATGAGGCTATTTATTAGTTTCCAATGCATCCACTTAGAACAAGTGAAGGGTAAGGCTGCTAACTTCCATTCCTCACCCGATTTCCCTGTACAACAGGCCTGTATACAGAAACCCGGGACCGTGTGAAGTATTAATTTTCCTGTGGCTTATGGCTACTTCTCTAGGAGTTACTCATTTTATGGTAGGGCTAGAATGGGTATCTTTGTAACAGTTGCATGCTATGCAATTGGTTATTTTCTCTCCATGGTAAAGATGAAGAAGTCTGGGACTGAAAGGTCACTTGACTCAGAATACCTATTTTGTTCACATTACCACTAGACAGATTATCACTGAACTATTAATTGCACATTATGTAATGCAATGTACCTTTTTGTTGAATTCACCCAAATTCTTCCACTCCTACACCACCATTTGTTCATGGCATTCCAGCTTTAATCTTCTGTGAGGTATAGGAATTTGATTCTACATCGGCAAAATGTGACCATGTAGGTCAAATTTCATTTGTTGGTGCAGAGGCTCGACGTTTTGAGTAAAAATCCTTTCACATACTTTTTTTTTCAAAGATTTCATTTATTTGGGGCGCCTGGCAGTGGGTTAAGCCTCTGCCGTCAGCTCGGGTCATGATCCCAGGGTCCTGGGATTGAGCCCTGCATCAGGCTCTCTGCTCAGCGGGGAGCCTGCCTCCCCCTCTCTCTCTGCCTGCCTCTCTGCCTACTTATGATCTGTCAAATAAATAAAATCTTAAAAAAAAATTTCATTTATTTGAGAATGAGAGAGCGAGTGAACATGAGAAGGTTAAGATCAGAGGGAGAAGCAGACTCCCCGCAGAGCAGGGAGATGATCCTGGGACTCCAGGACTATGACCTGAGCCAAAGGCAGTCGTTCAACCAATCGAGCCACCCAGGCGCCCCATGTACTTTTTTTTTTTAACCAAGTTTTAATATCTGAACTTTTCTCTTGGGGGAAAAACACTTCAGGGTTTGACTTTTTGTTCAAATTTTAACTATACAGACTTGTCTTGTGTGTATGCATGAAAATGGAAATCAAAGCTGCTAGTGCTTTTTAATTATCCTAAGGGTGTATATCATGGTGTTTAAACTAGATTTCTCATTTAAATGATTGGTGAAATAATTACTAGTTGTATTGTAAAACCAACAGATCTTGGTTCTACAAAATGTCGGTTCATTGGTAGTCTGAATCAATTATTTCAAGTGTACCTTAACAGAGATATCAGTGGGTTCAACATAGAATTTTATAGTACAAGACAAGCCTAACTGAATTTTGTTCTGTATCTTGAGTAAATTTATATTGTTCTCAGCAATCAACAAAATATATGCACTTTTGTGAACTATGAATGTTCTAATTAAATTTTACCTGCGACGTTTTGTACATGAATGATGCTTTATATTTCAACTATCAAATGTATTTTACTACAGTTTTATTATAAAAAAAAATGTTCATCATCGGGGCACCTGGGTGGCTCAGTGGGTTAAAGCCTCTGCCTTCGGCTCAGGTCATGTTCCCAGGGTCCTGGGATCGAGCCCCGCATCAGGCTCTCTGCTCAGCGGGGAGCCTGCTTCCTCCTCTCTGCCTACTTGTGATCTGTCAAATAAATAAATAAAATCTTAAAAAAAAAAAGTTCATTATCACCAAATAAACTTTGACTTTAAAAATCAAATTAGCTTGAGTTGTTTATTATGTTCTACAGTTATAGACTTGTATTACTTCTCAGCCTTTTGGCTAAGATCAAGTGTACAAATACAGACTTGTAAAAGAAAACTGGCATAGAGCAGCAGATAAAGATGTTATTTAAAAATGCACTATACCGGGGCACCTGGGTGGCTTAGAGGGTTGGGGCCTCTGTCTTTGGCTCGGGTTGTGGTCCCGGGGTCCTGGGACTGAGCCCTGTAAGGAGCCTGTTTCCCCATCTCTGTCTCTGCCTGCCTCTCTGCCCGCTTATGGTCTCTGTCAAATAAATAAATAAAATCTTTATAAAAATTAAAAAAGAAAAAAAGAATGTGCTACACCCACAGGTATGACAACACATATATTCACTTCCCACAAGGTCTAAGAGCCATTAGCCACATGGAGCATCTTAATTAAAATTAAATAAAAATTCAAAAGTCAGTTCTTTATTCAAACTGGCCATGCTTTGTTTTTTAAGATTTTGTTTGAGAAAGAGCATGAGTGGGGTGGGGGGAGGGGCAGAGGGACAAGGAGACCCCTGCCCCCCTCCCCAGAAGCTGACTGGAGCCTAAGGCAGGCGCTTAAGGCACTGAGCCAACCCAGGTGCCCCCTAGCCACAATTTACATACTTGGTCATCAGGGGACATTTCTATCACTGCAGAAAAGTTCCACTGGTGATCTAACAGGAGGGGGAATTCAGTACTTCACAAATCAGAAACACAACAGCAGTATAGCTCAAAGGTCTCACATTTATTACCAAAGCAACCGACTGATGCAGAGCTATAGTAACAGAAAAATCTTTCACTGATTAAGTGGTATCTATCGGCCTGGCAGAAAGGTGTTTACAGGGTGATGGAATAGAACACATGATCTTCAAGTAGCTTAATTAAATACGTGGTGCCCATTAGGTGTGACATCGTGTGATGTGGGATGCCTTAGAGACCCAGCTTGGTTCTCCTCCAGTGCCTCCTCTTGGAGTTGTACCTGCACAGAAAGACACTGCTGGTTACAAGAGCAGTCTGACCTCAATTCCGCTGCCCCCATTCACCACAAACCCTGCCTTGTCAGTACCATAAAATCCTTCAAAGGCAACGGGTCCCATTTTCCCTTCCTCTAACAGGTTTGGCACTCTCTCTGGAGAGTAAACAGTGATTTGCTAGATGTGTTTAAGAACTCATCAATTCAAATCTTTACCTCTCAAAATGATTCCAGGCTAGGAAAACACACTGGTTCTTAAAGGAGACTGGACCCGTGGGGAAGCTCTCGCCCCTCCCAAGAGTACCAGTACCCCCACCTACTTTGGATTCATACCCGGGGGCTAGACCCAGACACATTTCTTTCGAACACTCCCCAACTTCATCCAAAGCAACATTTCTACCCATGGGTCACCCACAAGTAAAAGCCCCCACATTCATCTTTATGAAAGATCAACACCCCCGATCATTTCAGTATCAAAGCAAGAGATCTGCAGCTCTAAAGCTACCTCAGAATTGTCCATGTCACTCGGTCACGACTTTACCCTCATGAAGGCAAAATCAAACAGGACTGACACAGATTTTCTTTCAGCAGGATAATGTCAGTACGTCCACAAAAGGAAGCACTGTAATTGCAACCTGCTTTCAATACTTTTTTTAAAAGATTGTATTTATTTATTGGACAGAGAGAGAGAGATCACAAGTAGACAGAGAGGCAGGCAGAGAGGGAGAAGCAAGCTCCCCGCTAAGCAGAGAGCCCGATGCGGGGCTCGATCCTAGGACCCCGAGATCGTGACCCGAACTGAAGGCAGAGGCCTAACCCACTGAGCCACCCAGGTGTCCCTCAATACACTTTTAAAAAGCTGCAAGACAGCTGACTTTAACAGAAAGATCATTCAACTGTTGCCAGTTTCCTGGGGCTGAGTTGTATACTTTTTTTTTTAAGATTTTATTTATTTATTTGATAGACAGAGATCACAAGTAGGTAGAGAGGTAGGCAGAGAGAGGAGGAAACAGGCTCCCTGCTGAGCAGAAAGCCCGATGTGGGGCTCCATCCCAGGACACTGGGATCATGACCCGAGCTGAAGGCAGAGGCTTCAAACCCACTGAGCCACCCAGGCACCCCGAGTTGTATACTTTTAACCACACATTTTTTTCATACCGCACAACACCCAAGGACACCAGATGGGCGTATGACAGAGAAACCGGTGTTCACGCCAACACATTAAAAAGGGGCTTTAGAGGGACGCCTGGGTGGCTCAGTTGGTTGAGCAGCTGCCTTCGGCCCAGGTCATGATCCCAGCGTCCTGGGATCGAGTCCCACATCAGACTCCTTGCTCAGCAGGGAGCCTGCTTCTCCCTCTGCCTGCCATTCTGTCTGCCTGTGCTCGCTCTCTCTCCCTCTCTCGCTCTGACAAATAAATAAATAAAATCTTTAAAAAAAAAAAGGGCTTTACAGGGTGCCTGGGTGGCTCAGTCATTAAGCATATGCCTTTGGCTTGGGTCATGATACTGGGGTCCTGGATCGAACCCCACACCAGGCTCCCTGCATAGCAGGGAGCCTGCTTCTCCCTCTCCTTCTGCCCCTGCTTGTGTTCCCTCTCTCGCTGTCAAATAAATAAATCTTTAAATAAATCAAAGGGCTTTACTATGGATGGCTGATTCTCAACAGAAACCCATCATGTGCATACAAGGGCTGAGCTGCCAAAGTAACCATTTGGCCAAGCGAATGGTTTTCTCAGCATCGTTCTGAAGGCAACGCCAGGGGTTTTCTAAGATCCAGCTGCAGTTCTAATCTATTAATATAAATATAAATGATAGAGGCCAGTGTTCAGTATACAGTAACGAAAGGCAGCAACTAACTGGCCTAGAAGGTGAAAGGGTGTGATTTTCACTTGTCTTTTTAACCAGCTAGAAGAATTAAGGAAACAGGCCCCCAAATTCACATCTTGGTCTTCACACCAGCAAACTATTCCCACTTAGACTTGTAATTCAATCAAATCAGAGTCCATATTGGTGTCACGATCTTGGCATTCCTCAGCTTCCAAGTCTATCTTGTGAAAGGGACCCACTGGCTAGGCCCGCTCTATGGTCTCAGCTTAAACAAAAAGGCTTTTCAAATAAAAATTTGGTAATAGTATTTGCTTCCTCCTCCTTTGTGGTCTTTCGGGCTCACTTATTTGGGAAAGCCAGAAAAATCTACTACTTTATTTTATTTTTAAAGATTTTACTTATTTATTTGACAGAGAGAGATCACAAGTATGCAGAGAGGCAGGCAGAGAGAAAGGGGTAAACAGGCTCCCTGCTGATCCTAAGACCCTGAGATCATGACCCGAGCGAAGGCAGAGGCCTAACCCACTGAGCCACCCAGGCGCCCTACTACTTCATTTTAAACCAATCCAAGTTCTGGAAGGTGTTTAACACACAGGGGCTTGTCACTGGATGTAAGCCCTTGAGCAAATACCACCAATTTTTGTGATGCTTATTTTTCTTTCTTTGGAGACCTGTCTCAAGGTCCACCTGGCCCCCCAGAGAGCAGTGAGACTGAAAGGCGCACAGAAAGGCGCACAGGAGACCTGAGTTTTAGGTTTAGCTTTGCCTGTTAGCCTAGGTGACCCTGCAGGCCCTCTGTAGCCATTTGAATAATGTCTTTCCCCCAAAACCATCAATTCAACTACTTCTGCAGTGGAGAGCAATCACCCAATCTTTCAAAAAGATAAACACCTCAAGATGGACTGAGTGAGCAACATGGTCTTTCCCACTGTGATGAGTAAGGAGGACAGCCTTTCACCTTACCTTCTGGCACAGACTGAAAACAACAGGAAATTAACAAATACTGGCATGTCTACCCTGAATCCCAGCTGCGGCCTGGGCTGCTGTACAGAAACATGGAGAAAGCACGTTGTAAAAACGACCACAGGGCAACCCTCTCGGGTCCCCTCCCTCCTCGGGAGCTCTGTACTATCACTTTGCTATCACTCAATAAACCTTGCTTTGCTGCCCACCAAAAACCTAATTAGCTAAAAATAAACTAAAATACAACAGCAACCACAAAAACAAGCTGGTGGTTGTGGGGGTCCTTACCTGATTTTATTACCAGTTTTCATCCGAATCCACTGGGGAATGGGACGATTCTGCTTTTGTTTCTTGGCCAGGAATCGCTTGATCCTGAAAGTCTTGTGAGAAGACTGGGAAGGAAACGTAATCAATTTAGACAGCAACACCGAGAGCTTGCTCCACAGATTCAAAGTCAGATGCCCTCAATCCACAAACATCTGAATGCTTCACCTATACCAAAACCAACGTTCTCAATGCTAAACTCATCCTTCCTTTGCTCTGTTCCTCACAACTTCTGCAGGCAGATACCATAATCCCCACTGTTCGAGTAAAAATCAGCAATAAAAGTCAGGAAAGCAAGTAACCTACCCCAAATCAGAATATTAACGCACAGAGCTGGAATCCAAACCCAGGTCATGTATGCTCCAAGGCTAGGATAACTTCCAGTTGTCCCTGCTGTCACCCCAGGACCCAGAGAACCATTGGGGATGGCTGGAGAACTTGGTTTTCTCAAAAGAACACAGCTTTTTGTCAACCAGAACAATCTAGCGCTTGCAAGTCAAGGAGTTTCAGTGCACAATGTAAAACAGGGCTAGCTAACCACACGGAGAGCGCATGCGCCAGAGCGAGCGAGTGGGCGGGGCATGAGGAGTCAGTCCCCTGGCAGAGCCGATTCCTCGCTGAGGGCGGAGCCAGATGCAGGCCTGGATCCCAGGACCCTCAGATCGTGACCGGAGCCCAAATGAAGAGTGGGCCGCTTAAACGACTGAGCCACCCAAGCGTCTCCCCGCCCCTTCTCATTTTGGCATGAATTCTACTCTATTAAAATATATTTTCAAGGACGACTTTCCCAATTTCTCATTTCATTTTCTGCCTTTAAGAGCCCGGGTCATCCAAGTCCATCCTCGTCCACTCCCGCTCCTCCGTTTGCCGTACAATCCGGAAATGGCAGGAGTGGTAGTCTCAAGTCTGGCCAACGTGGTCCAACACACTCTTGCACCTTGCATAACAGGGGCCCATTACAAAGAAGGCAAATACTACATCCTTGTCTCCCAGCTCACTAGAGCAGCTGTAAATTTCCTGCCAACTAAAAAAACCAGATACCGATCCCTCTCCATACCTCGAAACATACAGCAATTTTAATTTCTCAGAAAACGATCACAGGTAAAACCCACGACCACAATTGTCCGCAGCTGGCATTTTACTAAGAACGCCCGAATGGCACGCAGATCCACACCGCGGCACCCCTCCTTCCAGGTGCTTCCACGGGGAGATGCTAAGTCCCTGAACAAAGGACTAACAAGTCCCGTAAGCTCCTAACGTGGTATGATCCTGGGCGCCACCTTAAAAAACTTCCAAAAATCCAGCAGACCCCATTCCCTTCTCGATGCCTGGCACGTGCGGCGGGCACCCCACTGTCTGGCCACGATTTCTGGAGTGGACACCACCCCCCCCCCCCCCCAGAACCACAGTTCGCTCCAGAAGGGCGAAGGCCAGTGGGAAGCCCTGCTAGCCGGGGCGGCGCACAAAGCACCACCCCTCGGCCCTCGCATCGCCAGATTAGCCAGCCCCTCCTTGATCCCCTGCTAGCTTCCCGCCAGGCCCGCGGACTGGAGCGGTGGCCGTACTCGACCTTCCCTGGAAAAAGGCTTTAAAAGGGCCCCCGCACCTCGACGCAGAGTGTGGCGCCGGCGAGCTCGCAGAGACCTCAGGTTTCGGGAAACCACCCCGGAGCCGATGGGAACGGATGAACTTACCATGATCAATTAACAGCAAGCCGCACACAGCAGGATGGCGACGAAAAAGAGAAAGAAAGAAGAGGCCGGAAGGACGTATTTAGCAGACGCAGCCGAGGGCGGAGCTTAGAAGCCAAAGCCAGAGGCCCAAATCCCCCGCTCCGCCCCCGCGCGTATCCGCGCTGCCGTGGGAATTTGGCAAACCGGGTCTGTGGGTGAGAAAAGGGATTCGCTTTGCAACACTTCCGTAAGTGCGTTCCACAGGAGCCTGTCAGTGTGCTAAGGGCACCGTGCTTCGTGGGTGAGGCCCACAGCCCGTGGTAGATGCCACAGGGGGAGCCCTTCCCGAAGGCGGAGGGAGCAGAGCGGGCAGGGCTAACGTCCAGGGCGGGCGGGGGAGACGTCACGTCCGAGTACGAGGACCTTCCGTCCTGGGCTTGGGAGGGAGCGGCGGGAGGGCGAACCTCCGCCGGGGTGGCCCGGCAGCACCCATCTCCGCCCTGTCTTGATCTGGCCGGGCCGCGCTGGACGGGAAGGGATGGCGATGATGGAGGAAGCAAGAGAGGGCGGCAGGGACTGCCCTAGGAGGGTCCGGTAAGCCCAGGGAAGAGGTTGCTAATCGAGGTCCGAGCGGAGAAAGTTCGGGACAAGCTTTTCCTTGGCTGCTAGGAATGCCAGGCTTTTAACCCACTTTGCAAAATGTATGGGAACTAATGGCATACGTTTTGGATGTTAATGATCCCCGTTTTCTTGTTTTTTTTTTCCTCCACATTTAAAAAACAAAAACTTGTCTGTATATTTGCAGTCACCTCAAGCGGTTTTGCACCAGTAGATTAAGGTGAGGGTTTTTAAC